GGCCTACAGATATGACCAGATTACGGAGCTCCCGATTTCGAGAATTCCTTCTTCAAGGCAGCCCGCAAGCCCAAGGAGATGCTGATGGACTATTTGACGAGGTTTCCGACGTCAGAGCGCAAGCTGCGCTCACACGAGGTGTCTCTCCCAGACAAGGTGCTGGGTAAGTTTCTTTTACGCAGCGCCTGGCTGGATAAGGAAGGCAACCAGCTCATCATGAACCAAGTTGGCGACAACCTCTCACTAGACAAGGTCGAAGGCGAGATGAAGAAAACGTTCGGCCTGGACTCGGTGCCCAGCCATCGAGCAAGCTCGGGAGCAGCAGCCTACAACGTGGACGACTACGAGGAGGTCGACGACTACCAGGAGGACGTCTATTACGGAGACGAGAACGAATACGCCTACCACGAGGACGACGGCGAGGACCACCAAGAAGCCGGCCTCAGCTTCGACGCAGAGGCAGCCTACTACAGCGACAGGGCAACGATCAGCACCCCCATGCCGGACCAGACGTACGATGTAGAGCAGTACGACGAGATAATGGCAGCATACACGGACGCAAGGCAGAAGATGAATGACATGAGATTGGCCGGAGGTTTCTACCCAGTCGTAGCTATGGTACCACCACCGACAAGGAGCACGGCACCCATCATCCCTCGAGTTGCTGGCGCCGCAAGAGGTCGCGGCGCGGCCCGAGGTGCGTCAAGAGGGAGAGCGACAGGACGATCTACAAAGAGACGCGGCAAGGCGGGCAGTTACAGAAAGGGCGGAGCAATACGAGATTCATCACATCCCGAAAGCGACGGAACAGACGATATGCCCACGATGCGGTGGTCGAGGACACGTCGTCAGGGACTGCCCGCACCAGAGCAGGAAAAGGCAGAACGTTGGCGACGATACGGCAGAGGCGAGAATGGTCACCGACACAGCAGTCGACATCTACAAATCGACCGAGATCGACCCATCAGAAGCGATACACGACAGCGGGGCGACCAGCGTGATCGTGGGACACGAGACGCTGAAGGACTATTGCAAGCAGCTGGTCGCCAAAGGGTTTCCAGTCAGCAGCATGAAGTTGTTCCCGTGCTCGAAGAATTTTAGATACGGCAACGGTTCGACCGGCGAGGCGACGGCGTGCGCAGTTGTATCATCATTCCCAGGAGGCGGATTCGTAGATATTCGCACGTATGTTATTCCAGGTCACGCGCCACTTTTTGTTCGCTAGACCGGTGATGGAGGAGTTTGGTATGCTCGTGGACTTCAGGACTAAGAGGGCATGCTGGGACGGAGATGGCAAATGGTTTCGGTTGCGCCAGCAGCCCCAGCGCGGGCATTTCATCATCAATATGCTGGAGAGTTTCGATACTTGTATGAAGGAACGCGCCGACCAGACACTACTACCTCAGATCATGCTGGATCACGTTCGAGCGCAGCACCCGATCAGTCACTATACGTTTCTGGGCGACGAGGTGCTAGCGTACGAGGAGTCGGTGAACTTAATTGGCACCATGGTCGAGATCAGCAACAGTGTCGACGTGCAGACGAGTGACGACAACAACATCGCCAAGGACCTCAACGTGAAGCAGCTGCGCAAGTGCCAGGAGTCCCACGAGTCGGCCACCAAGAAGCTGAAGCAGGATTTGGAGAAGGCGAAGGACGTTCAAAAGGGCAAGCGCAAGATATGGCAGGTCTACGGAGACGCGGACATCAGACAAGGACGTTCGGAGTACACAACGGCTGGGATTTCGGCAAGCCCACGACCCAGAAGAAGTCCTCGCCCTGATCGACGAGGAGCAGCCAGACGATATATGGTTAAGTCCCGAGTGCAAGCTCTGGTCGATGATGCAGGAGCGAGGATGCAAGACAGACGAGTAAATAGAGAAGTTGCAGCAGCGGCGCTCGGACAACCATAAGACGCATCTGATGTTCTGCAAGCAGGTCTACGCCAAGCAATGGCACGGAGGTCGAGATGCGGACCTGGAGCAGCCAGCGACAGCACGCAGTTGGAGGACGAAGGCGCTCTACGAGTTGCCTGGATACCATGAGCTTTTCGACCAGTGCATGACGGGATTGGAGATTCCAGGGGAAGGCCTAGCTCGCAAGAGGACTGGAGTTCGCACTACACGACGAAGAATGGCAGAAGGACTCTATCAGTATCAGTGCGACAAAAGACATGAGCATGTCCACTTGGAAGGAAAGATTCCAGGTACCAACTTACACCGCACGAGCTTCGCCGAGACCTATGGGCCCCTGTCGGCGCAGGTTCTCAGCGAGTTGTTGGAGCAGGCCCACATTCAGGACACGGACATCCTGGTCCTGGGCATCGAGAAACGCGAGGACGCGGTAGAATATGTCTACCACGCGACGGTGGACGACAGCAGCAATGAGGCGAAGGAGACGTACCAGAACCGGCAGCTGAGGAGCGAGGTCGGCCAGAATGTGTTCAGGTATGCGGAGCGCCTCCACAAGAACCTAGGACACCCCAGCACGGAGGTTTTCGCGCAGATGCTGACGACGGCGGATGCGAGAAAGG